TTTTTCTTAAATCAGACGAGCTCTTTGCCGTGCCACCTCTGTAATTGGACCCTCCTGTGGGAGCAGGATATCACGAGGGTAGCCAATGAATTTTTAATTTAAATGTCAGCCATGAAACCTACCACCTCGTGAAAGGGGGAGGCGTGCGGAATTCAGGCTCAAAGCCCATTACCAGATATTTGGTTTCCCTCCTTGGCGTCTCTGTTGCCTGTAGGTGCGCACTTGACTCTTATTAACTTTAGCAGGAATTATGTATGTGCCCTTCAGGGAGAGCATGACTTTTCATGGGGGCTTCCTCACGCTGCCTTTATTTGCTGTTTAATTTTAATGGATCACACCCTGTACAAGTGTAAGAATAAAAGAGGGCGAGCTTGAAAATGGAGAAGGGGTTATTGCATATTTTACTCCTTCTTTTATTCCGGAATAGATGTCCGCTCTTCCATTTGTCTCCTTTGATTGTCCATGGAACATAATTTTGGCTGCTTATTTTTCAAATCGGAAACTGAAGTCAAAATACTAACCTTTCCTAGGTAAAAACTCACACGTCATTCGTTTTTGAGAGTTTGGATAAGCCTTGTGCAAAGTGTTGGGAACAAAAAGATGCATTTGTTGAATGTAGTGGATACTTAGGTTGTTTTAATATGTTCCAGACACTGTTTTATTTAAAAAATTTTTAAAGATTTTACTTATTCATTTGACAGAGAAAGAGAGAGAGAGCACAAGCAGAGGGAGAGGGAGAAGCAGGCCTCCCGCTGAGCAGGGAGCCCGACGAGGGCTCTGGGATCATGATCTGAGCCGAAGGCAGACACTTAACTGACTGAGCCATCCAGGCGCCCCTCAGACACTGTTTTAAACTGTATCAGTTAATCTGTTTTTGCATCACCGAACACACAAGACAGTTGTTAGAGCAACAACCATTTTTTTTTGCTCATGACTTTGGGTCAGCAGGCTGGGCTGGGTTTAGCTGGGTGGTTCTTCGGTGGCTCTCACCTGGGATGTTTATTCAATCAGAGTCAACGCTAATTCACCTGCAGCCAGTGGTCTGCAAGTGACCTCACTCACATGTCTGGGAGTTGGTGCTGGCTGTTGCTGGGCTTTTTTCCAGCAGTCTAGCTCAGGCTTGCCTACATGGTGGCCATGTTGTAAGAGGGCAGGTAGAGAGGCTGTATTCCCCTTGAGGCTTAGGCTTGGGAGTTGCATAGTGACCCTGATGCTGCAGTCTCTTGGTCAAAGCAAGTCACAAGGCCAGCCAGATTCAAAAGGTGTGGAGAAGGGCGCCTGGGTGTTTCAGTCGGTCAAGAGGCTGCCTTTGGCTCAGGTCATGATCTCAGGGTCCTGAGATCAGCAGGGAGTCTGCTTCTCTCTCTCCCTTTGCCCCTCCCCCCGCTTGTGCTCTCTCTCAAATAAACAAATAAATAAATCTAAAAAAACAAAGGTGTGGAGAACTAGACCCCACTTCTTGCCTGCAGGGCTATAGAGAATTTGTGGCCATTTAAAAGCCACAAAACTCCCCTATAAATACTGGCTCACTTAATCGTCACATCAACCTTAGAAGGTAGATTCCATTACTCTTCCCACTATTCAGTAGATGAGGAAAGTGAGACACAACAGAGAGGTTTAGTAAGTTGCTCAGGGTCACACAGCTTGGGACAGTGCAATGTGACAGGGGCTTTGAAAGCTGTTCATGGCTGAGTCCTTCAGCCACTGTTAGGACCAGCATATTTTTTTCTCTAGCCTTGTAGGGAGAGGGTCACTCACGTCACCATGTGGTTGCCATTTATTGGAAACTGCGTATATGCTGTGCCACTGAGCTATGACAGCTAGTCTGAAATGAAGGTATTAGTTCCATTGTGCAGTGAGAAAACTGAGGCTCATGGAAATGAAGTACAAGTCATACAAGGGAATGCCAACTCACTGTTCCATATGCAAGAGCGGTCTCCTTAAGTAAAAATTACCAATGTCCTGCGGCAGATTTTTTTTAAATCTTCTCTTTGTATTGACAAAATATTTAAAGCGATTCTTCTGTTGATTTGTTAATGGTTGTCGCACATTTCAGAGAAGTAACTGGAATAATCAATGTTTTTCAGATGTCCAGTGGAGCCCAAGAATAGAAGCAAGATGAATATTCCATTCCGCATTGGCAATGCCAAAGGAGACGATGCTTTAGAAAAAAGGTTTCTTGATAAAGCTCTTGAACTCAATATGATCTCCTTGAAAGGGCATAGGTGAGTATCTGGACATCCAGTCCAGAAGCTTATCAGAAAACGGGTTTAGTTTTTCTCTTCTTTTGTTCTTTCTTTTTATTTATTTACGTATGTTATGTATGTGGTAGAGAAAGATACAGCGAGAGAGGGAACACAAGCAGGGGGAGTGGGAGAGGGGGAAGCAGGCTTCCCACTGAGCAGGGAGCCCGATGTGGGGCTCGATCCCAGGACCCTGGGACCATGACCTGAGCCGAAGGCAGACGCTTAATGACTGAGCCACCCAGGCGTTCCTTCTCTTCTTCCTTCCTTCCTTCCTTCCTTCTGAGAGATAGAGCACCCACACAAATGGGATGGGGGTGGGGTGAAGAGACAGAGAGAATCTTAAGCAGGCTCCATGCCTCGCAGGAGCCCGAGGAGGGGCTCTGTCTCACGACCCTGAGATCATGACCTAAGCCAAAGTCAAGGGTCAGATGCTTAACCTACTGAGCCACCCAGGAGCCCCATTGTTTTTCAAAAGTGGAATGAAACCTATCTGCCCATCTAGGAGTCTGCCCAGCTTGAACTAGCAGTTCTTGTAACTGTTGGAAACACCAGTTTTCACAGGGTAACCCTCCTTTTTTTTTTTTTTTAAGATTTTATTTATTTGACAGAGAAAGAGAGCGAGAGAGCACAAGCAGGGGGAGCAGCAGAGGGGGAGGGAGAAGTTAGGTTTCCTGCTGAGCAGGGAGCCCGATGCGGGACTCGATCCCGGGACTCCAGGATCATGACCTGAGCCGAAGGCAGTCGCTTAACTGGCTGAGCCACCCAGGCCCCCCCCTGCCTTTTTAAGATTTTATTATTTATTTATTTGAAAGAGAGAATGTAAGCATAAGAACAGTGGTGGAGGAAGGGGCGGAGGGAGAGGGAGAGGGAGAGAGAGACTTTTAAGCAGGCTCCACGCCCAGCGCAGAGCCCAACATGGGGCTTGATCTCATGACCCTGAGATCTTATCTTGAGCTGAAATCAAGAGTGGGATGCTCTAAGTAATCTCCACACCCAACATGGGGCTTGAATTTACAACCCTGAGATTAAGAGTCACGTGCTCTACCGGCTGAGCCAGGCAGGCACCCCTCTCCTCTTGCTTACAGAGCCCCTAGCATGATTCCCTGGCTGGGTGCACAGTGGGGCCACGTCTGCAGGCTTTTGTCAAAATTCCCTTTGAAAATCTCTGAAATGGCTTTTATGGCCCTGAGGTTGTCATCCCATGACTGGACAGATCACTGTCACTCCAGCTGAACATCAGATACTTAATGCTGCACGCTCTGAAAAGTATGTGTCCTCGCCACAGGGGAGGCGAGACACCGGCCTGGCAGTGGTTGCCTACTCCCCGCTTCCCTTCGGATACCTGACTGAGTTAATCCAGGTTGTGTGAGCATGATGGGCCGTCACTACATTAGGGAGAATTTCCTAATGATTAGACGTTTGAACCTGCTGGCCACCTGGGTTGGACATGATGGCCTCAGGTGCAGTGTCTTTCTCAGGAGCAGGTGACTGGAAAGAGGGTCGTCTTGTGCTGAATGAGATGCTTTTGTTCTTACTGGCTGCATCTTTGGTCACTCTAGGTCTGTGGGAGGCATCCGGGCCTCTCTGTATAATGCCGTCACGATTGAGGATGTTCAGAAGCTGGCGGCCTTCATGAAGAACTTTCTGGAGATGCATCAGTTATGAACACATCTTAACCAGTGTATACTCTGCCCTTGAACAGTGTATAACATTTAAAGTAACTTGGGAATGACGACAGAAACTTAGTGAACACGGTATTTTTCTCAAGGGAACGTGCTTATTATAGATGTCATTTTTTCAAAGAACAACAACAAAACATCCACAGCTCTGCAGAGCTGGTGGGACTTAAAGGCCCCCACCTTAATTCTGACTTGAACTGGAAGTTTTTTTTTTTTTTTTTAAATCTTCCTTTAGCTTTTCTAGCGAATTCCGGCTAACTTTGTCTTTGCTGCTACTTTTTCTGAGGATTCAAACTTGCCTGTGGACTTAATTATGCAAATCGAAGTTGCTTATTTCTGGAGACACACAAACACAGCATGGAGGCTGGGTAGGGACCTCTGGGTGCTGAATCTTGATCCTTTCCACGATGACAGCATTGGGGTCTCCTGGGTTCTACACCTGTTAATTAAGGTCCACACTGCCTGTGTGGTGAGTGTTTCGGGGTTCCAGGCTGAAGGGCAAGCTGGGGGATCTTTCTTTATCCTGTTCTTCTCATAAAGAGATAAAATTGACATACGCTTTGTTCATATAGCAAAGTTTGTTTTTAATAACAAATAGTTTATATCTCTATGCAATCTGTTTCTAATAATACGGTTCTTGGTGATGCATGTAGAGACTTCAGAGAATTTGTTAGAATCCTTGACCTCACATATGACGAGTTAACATTTTCAGTGGTGTCTCTCCCCTCCCCGTTCCCTCTTCAAAAAACTGCTTCACCAGATTTTGATGTTCCCTGATTCCCTTTTATGTTCCTTTTAGTGGGTAGAAGGTTGGTTGGTTGCCCTTTGTTCTTTATTTTTCAGTTAGGCTGTTAAATTAAAATTCTCTGTTAAACTCCCTTCTTGTTGGTTCACTTGACAGTTCTCTTTATAGTGTTTGACCAGTGGTGCTGTGCGTTCCGGAAGATCTTTGCTGAAGAGTCTTTTCCCTCTTGTTTATCCATTGTCAGTATTTTCTCTTGACTGTGTGGAGGACATGAAAGTCCTAAAACATCTAAACCTTTGTCAATAAATTTCTTCACCTGCTATGTAGTAACGTATGTATGTATGTACTGAGCCAACCAGGCGCCCCTACTTTACCTGCTTTTTATTTTATTTTATTTTTTTATTTTATTTTATTTTTTTTTTAAGATTTTATTTATTTGAGAGAGAGAATGAAAGAGAGAGAGCGCACATGAGAGGGGGGAAGGTCAGAGGGAGACGCAGACTCCCCGCTGAGCAGGGAGCCCGATGCGGGACTCGATCCCGGGACTCCAGGATCATGACCTGAGCCGAAGGCAGTCGCTTAACCAACTGAGCCACCCAGGTGTCCCTTTACCTGCTTTTTAGACGGATTGTTCTGTTAAAAACTTTATGATGGAAACACTTGAGTCTGAAAGTAGCATCTGATAAGGGGCATTTAGTTCCACCAAAGGTGTAAGTCTTGAGTCCTGTGCATCCGTTTTTTTGTTTTTTTTTTAAGTGATTCCGTATACTGTGGTGGCTTTCATTGGCTTTTGGAATGGACATTATCAAGAAACCACTTTACAGCATAGCTCACGCTGTAAAGGTCTATGAACTCTGTCCCACGTAGGCCGGAAACATGCCAATAGGACAGTTCTGAGCTATCTCTGTGTTTGTTGGATTGTGTAATAAGGACCGTACAGATCTCTTATCCTAGCTCACCATCAGTTGATTGGGTTATTTGGGTTCCCCTGGTCAGGGCTAAGCTTCCCTCGTCTTAGTTCTCATCTATAAAGAGAAAGATTGAAATAACTCCCCCACTTGTCCCAGAGATGAAGAGTTTCAAACAAGGGCTCAAGGCAGGGTATGAATAATAACTACAATAAATGTTTATATAGCAAAGCCCGCCGGTCCATGGAATCCTTCTCAGTGTTCACGTGGCAGAGTGCTCAGAGTTGGCCTTACCATTTTCATCCTTTCCTGATGGGTGCAAGCCCCTGTGCATTGTACCGACCCCAGGTCTCAAATTTCCACTTACTTCCATTCCTGTCGCGGGGCCCACTCTGATGTCTGCCCTCTGCGGATTATTTCTGCAGCCTTGTCTCCCCCAGCCCCCACCCCTGCACAGCCAGCTGGACTACTACTTCTCCCTCGTGCTCCTCCATGATATGTTAAAAATCCAGGGTTCTCAGGCTGGTATCGGCAGCTTTGCAGCATGTGGCCTGGGCTTGTCTGTCTTATGTTTATGGTTCTTGGAATGGGATATGCGTATGCTTGTGCTGTGACACATATTCCTGGCCTGGGGCTCCTGCCTCGTTTGCGCCTCCTTCGGAACAGTGTTCTTACAGGGGTGACCCTTTTGCGCATCACAGGCCTGCATTCCCTACCGAGGTGTCTGCTTCTCTGCCCTCCCCTTAGAGCATCATGGAAGGAGCCATGTTTCTCCACTTCCAGCACCTGGCATCCTTGCCCATTGTGGGTACTCAACAATTGTCTGTTTAAGGAATGAAAAGTCTTATTCAGATCATATTGGTCTTCCTGAGTTTCACGAACTGAACCTGGAATAGAGGCAGATGTACCATCTTAACATATATGGATTTTTTTTTTAATTTTTAAAAGCTTAGTATATAATATAATTTCATTTTCCACTACAATGGTCAGATACGACTCTGGTTGAGTAGGGAAATTTAAAGTCTTGGAGGGCTCCCGGACTCATCTTTATCAGTCTGTGAATGCTTTTGGAAAATGGTCAGCGACTGCATCCGTACAAGTACAAAGGGTAGTCACTTGTTAGGACACAGATTGCTGGAAGATGCTCATCGAGTGAAAACCTTGGCCTTTGTGTGTCTCAGATGAATGAACTGATGCCGATCTGCTGACCATGTGGAGAGAGGTGGAGGGGAAGATAAGGGTGCAGGCTCCTGGGTCAGCAGGCTGCGGGAACCAGAACCAGGCATCCTTCCCCTGAAGATGAAAAGCAAAGTAGATAAAACCAGTGTTTTTCAGGCCTTGGGGAGTCTGTCCTCATGTTCTTCCGGATACTCCCAAACTCTACTCCCTCCCCCACCCCCGCCCAAACTGAATTTGAAGTTTTATTTTTCTCCTTCAAAATTCTTCCAGTACATAATCATTCTACTGCTGATCCGGTGAGAAAAAACAGAATTGTTTCCATGTTCTTTATGTTTACCTTCGCACACTACTTGGTCTCCCAACACTGCAGTTCTGTTCTTTGCATAAGAAACTGAAATTATATTCTGCCTCCAAGTCTTCATTCCCCTCGCTAGTCTATGTTTATCTAAATACCCAGTGCCGCTTCATCACAATTTAGCTGATGCTGGAAGGTTTGACAAGCCCTTTGGGCAACTAGGTGATGTAAGACATAATTATTCCTTTTCCCCCCTTCGGAGCTGAAGGAGGCACTAAGACCCATAAAGTGGGCAGAACCCACAGATAGATGAGATGTTCATTTCTGCCGAAGGAATTAGCAGGTCCGGCCTGTATCACTTCGTGATTAATGTTTGTTGTAACGTGTTCGTTGGAAGGAAAATAAAATGAGGAAGAATTTTCTCACATTTGATCAGAATGAACATAATTAAAAAGTGAAATGCTACTGGGTTTGGGAAGAAATCAATCACTTTAATTGGAAAGAAGATTCCTTGCCTCTGTCGGTAATTGGGCTCTTGGTAATTTAGATTCGGAATCCATGACAGTTTGTGATAAATTGGCTCCTGTTGGGCTAAAGAGGGTAAGAAGTTCTAATTACCCCTGGATTATTCCAGAGTGGATGGAAAAGCTTGATCAAAGAAGGAGGTGCTGGGGAAGAGATAGAAAAGCCAGCAGTGAGCAAAGATTTATTGAATTTCTTCTTAAGAAGGGTAAAGAATAAAACGGTTCATTTGATGTGACAAAAACAAGAGCATGGTATTTGTGGTATCTGACATCCTGCAGATGTAAATTGGATTTTCTAGGAAAATAGGGAACTGGGCATGTTAGAAAAAGTTTACGTACACAGAAGTTCTACGATCGGGCTATAGCAGTTAGCCTTGCTTACTTGTTAGTGCATGAGAATATTGACAACCTTGGGCCTCACTGGGAGAGAAAGTATGGAATTTGTACTTTGAGTGTTTAAGCGCATAAGTCATCAGCACTAAGTTTAAGGAAGTCTGGTACGTTTTATACAAATGAAACATAATTTAAGCTAGTAGAAATGTAGACAGACTCATTAGTGAGTCTGCTGACCTGGTCACTGTTGGTACCCTAGTCTTGTTTCTGTGCAGATCGCTTAAGAATACCTGAGGAATAGGCTGGATTTTAGGTTGATGCCCTGGGTGATGAATTTATTTTGGAATTGTGTGGTTTATTTTATATGTCTATCTAGTTGTCAATGTATAGATGTTGATAGATCTGATTTCAAACTTACAGAGAAGTTGCAAGATTATTTGCAACTTGACTTAGATTCACCAATTATTTTAGCTTCATGTCCCTGGTATTCACTCTCTCTTCATCTATACTTTCCTTTTTTTTTTTTTTCCTGAACCATTTAAGGATAAGCTGGAGACATTGTGCTCCTCTACCTCCAACTCGTGACGATTCCTGAGAATAAGGACATTTTCCTATGTAACCACAGCAATGATGATCTAAATCAGAAATGTAACGTTGATACTGTTGACTCTTCTACAGTCCATATTCAAATTTTGCCAATTATTCTAGTCACATCCTTCATAGCTATTTTAGTCCAAGAACTAGTCCACAAGCATGCATGGTACTTAGTTCTCATGTCTCCTTTTTTTTTTTTTTTTTTTTTTTTTAACAGAACACGAGCAGGGGGAGTGTCCGAGGGAGAAGCTGACTCCCCGCTGAGCAAGGAGCCCAATGCAGGACTCGATCCTGGGACTCTGGGATCGTGACCTGAGCTGAAGGCAGACACTTAATTGACCACTCACACACCTAGTTCTCATGTTTCCTTAAGTTAAATATGAAACAGTTCTTCAGCCTTTTTGTCTTTCACGTTATTGACCGTGGCAGAGCAAGGCTGCTTGTAGTAGAATATGATGGAGTCGGTTTGAGTTGGTCCTGTTTCCTGTTTTGGCAGGGGTACCACAGAAGTGATGTCCTTCTCTTTGCCTCCTGAGAGGAGGCACCTGATGTCCGTCTGCCTCACTGGTGTCTTGCTTCAGGTGGTGTCCATGAGGATCCTTCACGGTCAAGTTGTTATTTGTCCCTTTGTAGTTGATAAGTAGTTTATGGAGAGAAATTTCGAGGCTCTCACTATTCAGTTCTTCATGATGGAGAAGGTAAAGTGATTTATGGCTTATTTTCCACCAGTATTTCTACAACCGACTCCTCTCTCTCCCACAGGGAAAAGAAGCCCTGAAATATAAGCAAAGGTGTGTAAAGAAACAAAAGTACATTGAGAAGTCAAAAGCCAACAGTTGGGGTTATAGATCCCAGGCGCCCTGAGAGTAACAAATGTGTTCTGAGAATGTGAATAGTATGGGCAAGTGTTCCTTTTGGTGAAACAGGAAAGGAGGGAAAGAATCTCCTGATCAGCATTATAGGGACCAGCTTGTGGAATTTTCCCTCCGTCTAGTCAGGTTTCTTTAATTCTCAGTTATTTTTAGAAGAACAGCCCTTTGGCAACACAGACCCTTAATCTAATAGCCGGATCATGAACCACACAGCCTGATGATACTTTGAAAGATGTCATATAACAACCTAAAGTTAAGGTTGCTTCTGATGTTTCTGGCCTAGCAGAATAGCCCCCAAGAGAAAAATAAAATCTTGGCTTCCACCTAGCCAGGTAAAAAGCTGAAAGCATCTTAAATGCCCGAGAAATAAAACTTGAAGTTGAAATGTAAGGAACGTAAGAGGTTATAGGGTATTCTGGGGGGAAAAATAATGATCTACCCAGCAGAGTTAAAGGTGGCTGCTGGCTCAATACTCCTTCCTGCTCGCTTCCCCCACTTTAAAACCATACTTTCTTTAGGGTGAAAGTGTAGGGGTTGAAGAGGAAATCTTCGGAAGTTGTTAGGAAATGACAGGTGAGCAGGTTAATAACCTCAGGTAGCAACCATTCTATAAAATATACACTGG